TGAGTGATAAACGTTTTCGCTTTCATAGATTCATTTTTGTTTGCTGATCTTTCTGTTTATTGTTATTGTTTTGTTACGATTATCTAAGTTATACTGTTATTAAATTATTAATAATGTTTCAATAAATAATAAGAGTAAAAATTTTGATTTATTGTATTTAGAATATCATAACCATAAATATAATAATAAAAATGTATAAAATAATATTTAGTCAGCTTCATAACATAGTAAACACATTGTGATCATTTTGATACATTGCGCCCGATATGATACTTTTTTGCATTGCGCCCGACGAAAGGTTAAAAAATGCCTGTAAAGTGTTTGTTCATTGTATGACATGATGAAAAAAAAATTTACTGCTCGCGTAGCGATATAAACAATTCCGAAGTAATCACGGTTTGTCACAATCATAGATGTATACTAATTCTTTATGCAGCCCATAGATGGCAATTGAAGTATGTGCCGTATAAAGTCCCTAGATTTACAAAGTACCGCGGTTCATGAAGCCTGTTTTCGAGCCAAAATGGCGGTTTGACTGGGTTTGACAGCTTGTCACTGCATCTCACCACTTATTTTTTTATATTTCCCGCTTGACTTTCGAGCCAAAATGGCGTCAAACCGCGGTACCTTGTAAATCTAGGGACTTTAGCGCCATATAAAGTCCCTAGATTTACAAAGTACCGGGGTTCATGAAACCTGTTTTGGAGCCAAAATGGCGGTATGACAGCTTGTCACTGCATCTTACCACTTATTTACAAAAATATTGCCGTCTTGTTGCCTTTTGGGTTGCCAAAATGGCAGTAAGAAGGACTTTCGACTCTTCAGAGTACCACGAGAAAAAAAGAAAGGAAATTTGGCGTAATGTTTTGACTTGTAGTCTTCAATTTCCCGCTTGACTTTCGAGCCAAAATGGCGTCAAACCGCGGTACTTTGTAAATCTAGGGACTTTAGTGCCGTATTTCAATCTGTGGTATGGGGAATCCCCATATAAACTAAAATAAGCAAATTAGAGATTATTTGTCTATGGTGTTGGTTAGTGTTGTGTAGGTACGGTGTCTCAATCGGTTAACGACACAATTGTTAGTTTATTGCTGTGAACTGAAGATTAATTTTGCGATGCTTATACGGACGTTCTTTAGCAAAAAGCGAAGAGTTGAAGAGGAAATTGACCTCGATGAACCACATTCCTCAAAACAGATGCAAGCACAACATACAATTGCTACTTCTAATCCTATGGAACTCAGTACAGGTTTGGTGAAACATGTTGGTAGTATTAGCCATGGTATTCCTTTTGATATTGCACAAATCGGAGAACCGATAAAGCAAGTTATTTTAGACATATATCCCAAACAAAATAATAGGGCCTTTGTAGCGGACTGGTTCAAGCGATATAAATGGTTGCAGTATTCTGTGGTGAAAGATGCTTCGTTTTGCTATCCTTGCCAGCAATTTTTGCCTCATGGTAGCAAATAAACTTCTTACACTTCGACAGGTTTCAAAAACTGGAAAAACGCTACTGATGCAAAAACTGGTTTCCCAAAACTACTTTCGACGAACAAGCATTGGATTGTAATATGTCACTCAAAATACACTTTCTACTTCGACATCTTTCATCTCGAGTGCTCGTGTGTTGGCAGATTTTTGTTGGATGCTTGCAAGAAACCAGCTTCAAGTCAAATATTCCAGAAAATTTAAACTTTTAGTTTTAAGAAACTCATTTTTAAGTTTAACTGTAAATAAACTCTGAATGAAGTTCTTGCCACAAAAGATATATGACTGCAAAATTTTTTCTACAACTTAGGGAGTCAAAATAAAATAAAAAGTACCTACTAAAAAAGTTCATGTGACAAATTAAAAGTTCATATTTGTCGATCAGTGTAATCTAAGGATTAAAATAAACAGATCTCTATAAGTATAAATTAATTTAAAACGATTACTTACGATGGACAATAATTACACACATAGTTGTAATAGGTAGATTTTCCTGGGAATCCAGAATTTTTGTCGCATTTTGCAAATCCACATCCTACAAATTGACTCGTTGCCCAAACCATTTGCGTGTAATGACCGACCAATTTTAAATTGTTCTTAGTGCTCCCGTAAGTAAAATATTTCTTTTCAGCAAACCATGTTCTCATTGCGAATAACCTAATTATAAAATAAAATTATTTTATTACATATAATTACAAAATTTTATGTTTAATTATGTCATCACAATTATTTTTTTATTGGTGAATATGTTGTCAGTAATTACCATTTAAAGAAGATACAATTGACCTATGGATACTATTATTAAAAGTTAAAAGCGTGCGGAGCTGGAATTCGAACCAACAAATTGTTTGCCATTTAAAGTTTTTCATTGACATATCAATTGATAATTGGAAATCAATACATTTATTTTTGAAAATTGATACCCACATATTATTGTTAATTCTGTTAATATATATTTATTTTACCATTGAACTGGATGAGTTGAAACGAAGATATTTTGTCCACAAGCTCCATAATTTTTGTCATTTCTTCCTTTAGAATCATCATGAGTTAAAAACATACATTGATTAGCCCAGTTTTGTGCTGATTTTGCGGCTCCTACATGCCATCTCTTAAGAAAAGAATTAAATTAATAATTGAAATTAACTTAATATTTTAGTTAAATTTTATTTACCATTCTTAACATATTCGATGCGGCTGGTTTTACGACAGATCGAAATTTGTTGTGTTTTCTAACGATGTATCTTTGAACGTTTCTTATAACACCTCTTAATATGGTTTGATTATGAAATTTCATGTATTTAATTTCTTAAATAAAATAATATTTAATAATATCTACAAAAGATGGTAATAATAAGTCGAAAATAAAGGATAAATTTAAATATTTTGTTTTAAAGAATAAAAACTATGCCATTTTGAACTGTGGTGTTTTGACAATAAATAGCAATTCGTTGAATTATTACTTTATAAGTACTTTCTCATTATTACAGTTTAAAGTAGTGATTCTGCTTTATTCTTTCTATGTCTACTACTGTTTATACAGTGCAAATTAAAAAGGCGGTTTTGCTGAAAATTGGATAATAACAATATTCAGTTGATTGATTGTTAGTATTATGCTAAAAAAACAGATATCAGTTAAAACGAGAGCGGAACGAGAAAAAAGAGACTAAGTAGAGAGGCTGGTAAGAAACTGGAAGGAGAATGTAAAGACTAGAAAGGAACTGAACAGAAAAGAATGGCTGGAAAGAAACTGGTAATAATAGAAGGAAGACTGAATAGAGATTGGAATGACAAGAAGTAGACTGGGCAGACAGAAAAGACACTGGAAGGAGAGCAAGAAGACTGGTAATAGAAGAAGAAGCGGAACAAACACTAGTAAGGAATACAGTTATTGTGCAGAGAGGAAACTGAAAAAGACTGTAAAAGACAAGAAAAGGGTTATACACAAAAGAGAACCACTGAAAAGAGATTAGTAATAGCAGAAATAGATCGAAAGGAGAATGGAAAGGCAAGAACGAAATTCCTAATAAGAGAAAGAGATTGAATAGAAATAGGAATGAAAATAAATGGTCGGAGAGGATTGAGATTAATAGCGTTTGAACAAAGAATGGAAAGATAAGAAAAAGACTGGTACAGAAGAAATAAATTGAGCAGTGTGTGTGAAAAAAGATAGGGACTGGACATATGAAGTGTGGAAAGAGACTTGTAATAAAATAATGGAGATTAGAAAGAGGAAAATAAGACTGGAAGGGCCTTGGAACGTGACTGCTAGCAGAAGAAATAGATTGAAAAGAGGGAAGACGAATAAAAATAAGGCTGCTAACTATAGAAAGAGACCGAATACAAGTTGGATAAATAAAAAGGATACCGGGCAGGGAAAAGGCTTAGAGAGAGAAGAGGAAAGCTGGAAGCTGCTATTAGAAAAAGAAAGATGAGATACAGAAGAAACAGGTTGGAAAGAGACTGGTAATGGAAGAAAGATACTGAGAGAGATCTGAGATCTGTAATAGAGATTATAAAGAGAAGAGGAAGATTTACTAGACTAGAGAGGGGTCTGGAATGTGACTAGCAGTGAAGACTAAACAGATACTTGATGAAAAAGAAAAAGACTGCTAACTCTATAGAACGAGACTGAATAGAAGCTGGAAATATAAAAAGGATGCTGAAAAACGAGAAAATGCTTAGAGAAAGAAAAAGAAAGCTAGAAGCAAGAGACTGATTTTAGAAGAAACTAGATAGATAAAAAAAGTCTAGAAAAAGTCTGTAATAGCAGGTAGAAATTGAACTGAGAATGAAATGGCAAGAATGATACTCCTAGCAGAAGAAAGAAACTGAACAGCCACAGGATAAAAAATAACTGGTCAACGAAAGTGTTTAACAAAGGATGGAAAGACAAGAAGATGACTGGTAACAGAAGAAATATAATGAAAAAAGAAGAATGAAACTTCTAACAGAAGAAGGTGACTGAATAGAAACAAAAAAAAATAAGCGGCCGGAGAGGATTGGAAAAACTGATAACAGAAGAAACAAACCGAACAGTGACTATGAAAGAGAGAAAGGAACTGGACAAAGAATATGAAGTGTGGAAAAAGACTGGTTATGGGCGACAGTGACTGAACAGAGAATAAAATGAGAGCACGAAGTCTGATCAGAGTGGAAGAGGTCTCGAATGTGACTGGTGGTGGAAAAAATAAAATGAACAGATACAAAGCGAACAAGAATAAGAAGTCCTGCTACGATAAGAAGAATGCTAAACAGAAAGGAGAGATACTATGCAGCATCCATAACCGGTTGTCTATAATATAATCTTTATTCTGAATACTACTTAAATAGTAGTACGACCTGTGCCTTTGACATGCTCTTCAAAAGTATTAAAGAAAAATTAAACATTGCATTTCAATAATTTTAAAAACGTTTGTATTATCCGTTGCTTTCGATTATCCGATATGTATTTCCACCGGTTACGACGGACGCTTAGAAGATATATAACAACATGGGAAGCAATAAATGACCAAATGATCATATACAGGGTGAGTCAGAAAGAATGGGAAATCCGAATACCGGAGACACTAGACAGCAAAATATAACGATTTAACCTAACATCTCTTATACAAATGTCGGTGGTTTTCAAGGCACAGGGTGTTGAAAGTTAAATTCTTATTTCGAAATTTCTTAATAATTTTGAAGCTTTTTGTACTATTAACATAAAATTTGGTAGTTAGATGGTTTCGAGCATGAGAAATACGAATCTGAAAGTTGTTTTGTGATTATTCGTAGAGGGCGCTAGATACACACTGCACGTTTGGGATACCAAGTCATGACTATTTTGTCAGTTGAGGTATGGTGAATTAGAACCAAAAATCTAAAGAAGCTTTCAATTCTACACAAGAAAGGTAGTGTTGCATACATTATCTAAGTTTAGTGGTTTCCAAGTTATCTGCTTTTAATTGTTTTAAAGTAATTTTAAGGTTAACATTTAAAATTAATAACACGCAGTAACTATAGCAATTAGTAACGATAATAATCGATAACAATAACAATACAATATTGTGACCATATTCAAAAATCCAGTGGATTTAAATCTGAACTTCTCGGTGGCCATGCATATTCACTTCCATGGCCAATCCAACGATGCAGAAAATATTCATACGCACAGGAAGACTATAATGTGGTGGCGCACCGTCCTGCATAAGCCACATGCTTCTTTTAGAGCGTCTGGTAGGTCATGTAAAAGCTGAGTAGATAATCTTCATGAAAACTTAAGTACACACGTCCATTTAATTTGGAAGAGAATTCAAATGGACCAATGAAAAAATTGGATATTACACCACATCAAATATTTACATTATGTTCGTGTTGAAAATGTCTTCCCCTCACAGCATGTTGATTCACGGAACCCCCCATAAGTTGGTTTTTCCAGTTGAAACGCCCCGTTTTGNCAACACCCTATGCCTCGAAAACCACTGACATTTGTATAAGAGATGTTACGTTAAATCATCATATTTTGGTGTCTAGTATCTCCGGTATTCGGATTTCCCATTCTTTCTGACTCACCCTGTATAAATGACGATGCCATAGTTGCCAAAAAAGTCCAATTCTATGAAAACTACATAGTCAGATAATAAGAGTGGAAAAAACAGGATAAGGTGGTAGACTAGTACGAAGCGGAAACGGTGAACAACAATGGCACTAGGCCGATTATAATATGACAAGGAGAAGGACACGGAAAAAAGGGGAGAGAGCAGGGGCGTAACTTCAAATCAGGCCCCCCCGCAAGATTTTGCTAGGGCCTCTAACTCATATGTTAAGAAAACTAACATTTTTGGTGCGGGGGGCCCCAAACCCTCGGGATAGCTTAATTAATGAAGCACCGAATAACTATACATATAAATATAGATTAGATGAAAAACTCGAAAACGTGTAATGTAAAAACTATGGAGAACACAACTACTTTAGAAAGATGTGGATATACTCAGCAGCCAAAGAAACTTTGGGAACAAGGAATGCCGACAAATTAAGGTACCATATTGGTGGAACGAAGAAATAGAAGACGCAATAAGAGACAAGAGAGAAAAGTACAAAATATACTTGGCATCAAAATTAAACGAGCATAAACTACTGTAAAAATAAGCGCAGACACAGATTCGGAAGATTACAAAAGAGAGAAAAGATCTGGACAAAAAAGTGGTGAATCCTGAAATCCCCAAGATCGAGCAAGACAAGAGACCTAACATCGCCAATAACGATCGACGAAAGATGAGACAACTACCTTAAACAGTTACTAACAAAAGATTAACCGAATTTCCTAAAGGAACAAAATAAATAAGAAAGTCTGCGTAAAACGATATCCCCAATCAGAATAATCATAAAAGACGTACCGAAAGCCTCACAAAAATACGAAAGCACCGAGCTCGAGTAGCATACCAGTAGAGCTTATAAAATGTGGAACAACAAAACTATACCAACAACTTGAGACACTATTCCAGAACTGTCTTAATAGTAAATCAACTCCAAAAGAATGAAATACAGCGTTTGTATCCACCATATATAAAATGGGAGACAGACAAAACTATGGTAATTGCAGAAGTATGGTAGCATATGGCAAGATCCAGGTCAACAAAATAGACCTAGTATACACAGATATGGAAGCAAAGGAGTACGTAGAGTTCCGGGCTGGAATATCAACAATAGACAACCTCTTTTGTGTCTCCTAGATAATGAAAATAAAGCAGCGTGTAATCAAGAAACCCACCTAGTGTTTATATACCTAAAAACAAATCGCTAAAGCAGTTTCGCAAACGTTCGACAGTTTCACACTATGTTTTGCTGACGACCAAATAGTAACCTAATAGACCTAACAAAATATGGAACACATGATCGGAAAGCTCATAGAGGAATACATTGAATGGGACCTGAATGTTAATATACAAAAAAAGTGCGTCTTTGTGGGAGAACAGCAACAGAACCTTGACTGGAAAGTGCATAAAATATACCAGCAAGTACAAATATTTGGGAGCACAAATAACTTCCGACAGAACACTAGAGTGCACCAAAGAGAATGAAAACATACAAGGCAGAAAAGCATACAATACATAGAGTGATCTATTAAAAAAAAACAAAGTTGACCTATTTTCCGGAAAACTAAAAGTGATAAACAATTTTTTATGCTGAATTGTTTGTGTTAATAAAAAAATCTCTAACCGTTTTCAAATTAGGTAGGGGAGGGATTACATATTATGCGTACTGTATATATAAATCTGCTACAGTAACTTTTGGAGATCACCCTCGTTCGCTGTTCCCTGCACCACATCGTCTGCATAGT